ACAATAGTTTCAAAATTATAAAATCGATGGTAGCAATAACGCTAAAACAAAAAGATCGATGATAACAATAACGCTAAAACAACAAGATTTATGGTAACAATAGCGCTAGAACAACAAGATTGATGGTAATAATAACGCTAGAACAACAAGATTGATGGTAACAATAGCGCTAGAACAACAAGATTGATGGTAACAATAACGCTAAAACAACAAGATTGATGGTAACAATAGCGCTAGAACAACAAGATTGATGGTAACAATAACGCTAAAACAACAAGATTGATGGTAACAATAGCGCTAGAACAACAAGATTGATGGTAACAATAACGCTAGAACAACAAGATTGATGGTAACAATANTTCGTTAGCAATAAAATTCAAGTAACTCGAAGGGACTTAAGTAACTTCTCGTAAACGATCTTGTGCTCATTGTGACGGGATATTCTCGAGTGTACCTTAACGCTAACAACACAGCACAGAGTGTCGGTAACTGGTAACAGTGACGGGCGACAGTGTCAGATAACTGATAACAGTGCCTGCTAATTAGGTAGCATGACCGGACCAGGCAGCAGCGCACTCAGACCTCGAAACTTTGAGACGATATCAGGAGAAGCTGGGGCGCGGGAGCAGCGTCACAGGTGACTGGAAATGCGAATGTTTCAATCAAGATACTACGGCACCTCCAACTGATTATAATGCACCAACGACAGATTATAATACCCTTCGAGATTTCAAAAACAGTTGAAAAAGCCAAGTCGTTTCCGCATCAAATCAGTTCCAGTTGATAGAGATAAGTAGACACCCGAGCGAAGCGAAGAGGATAGGAAGCACAACGTGACACCAGACCTTCAACGGTCACAAGTTCAACGACATGAGCCTGTCTCTTATACACATCTAGATGTGTATAAGAGACAGGTCCTAACCTAATCTTACCTCACTTGACCTTACTTCACCTAACCTTACCTTGCCTAACCTTACCTAACCCAACACAACCTAACCTAACGTAACATATCCTAACCTATTCTAACCTAACCTGAACTAACGTTGCCGTACCCTAATCAACCCTAACCCTGTCTCTTATACACATCTAGATGTGTATAAGAGACAGCCTCTACACCAGGCTACACCTCTACAGCAGCAACAGCCTACACCTCTACAACAGCACCAGCCTACACCTCTACACCAACAACAGCCTACACCTCTACACCAGGCTACACCTCTACACCAACAACAGCCTACACCTCTACACCAGCACCAGCCTACACCTCTACACCAGCAACAGCCTACACCTCTACACCCGCACCAGCCTACACCTCTACACCAGCACCGGCCTACACCTCTACACCCGCACCAGCCTACACCTCTACACCAGCAACAGCCAACACCTCTACACCAACAACAGCCTACACCTTTACACCAGCAACAGCCTACAACTCTACACCAACAACAGCCTACACCTTTACATCAGCAACAGCCTACACCTCTACACCAGACATACCAGTAACAGCATGTACATCTGGTAATGCAGAGAAATGCTATGAATACTCCAAGTGAAACTAGTACCATCATTACCACTAATATATTTAGGATGCTAATACCGTTTGTACCAAACCAAATAATATGAATGCTACGAAGTTTCAGCTTGCATGCATGTAGGCACCAAACTAGGACCACATTCACCACAAGCACATTCATGTACTCACTATAACAAATACCTACATTCAAACCCACACCCCACTTTAGGCAGGTTGTGTGCATGCAATTCCTGTGGGTTAGATTAAACCCAATTGCGGCATGTTGTGTGCAATTAATTGATATGGGTTAAATAAACCCCAATATCGGCACAATATTTGTACCGAGGTGTTCTAAAATTTTGTCAACTGTACAATAGAACTGCGCGGTACGCGATCGTTTTGTAACTCGACATAATCAGGAGTCGACGTAATATTTTGCGAAATCGCGGCTTATGAACCGACCGAAGTATGGAAGTTGATGCGAACATCGAGAATTTTATTACGAAATGCTGCCTTATAATAATAATAATAATAATAATAATAGCGGTTTCAGCGTTATTAGGCCGTAGGCCTGTCGCCGATTCTGAACATCGCAGAACATTCACAGCAATTTGCGGTCTCGAACTCGCAACTCACTGCTACAATTCTGCTGTGCTTAACCGCCCGGCCTCCTTGCCGATTCTGACCAGAAACTGGCGCACAGAGCTGGGATCGAACCCGCGCCTCTCTGCGCCAATTCTAGTACTCTGAACTTTAACCACTGGGCCACCCTTGTTTGTTCATTGTTTGTTCATTCGCCGCCAGTGGCGCTAGCATGCAGCGTTATTTAATCGATTTAGTAAGATTTTCAGACGCAGCTGCAATATTAGAGTTTTTTAAGAGATTTTGTGCTCATCAAAACTTTTCGATTCGAAAGTCGAACGAAGAAGAGTTTGCAAAGCCAGCGGTATTCTGAAAAGATTTCGAATGTGTCTCGACAGGTTATGAACATGTCAGCACATGTTTTAATCAGTCTGAACATGATTTGAACTTGTCTTCGCAGCAGCCATGCTAGCACATGCTTAAATCTCTCTCATATTCAAAGATCGAGCTTATCATTTCTGCAAGTTTCATCAATCTAAGTAATCATCAATATGTCATTCATGAATCTTGCCAATCATTCAAATTTCATTCATGAGTATGAAGTAATTCACGACAACGATGACCAAACATGATACAGACAGCATGCTGATCTACTGCCTAGGCCATGTCTTTCAATTTAACGCCTTTCCCTCCACTTTTTAACGCTCTCTTCTCCACTTCCATGATATTTCCCCCTCATCATTGCCATCCATCCACTATCCTCCTCCGTCATCCATTCTCCGCGTACTTTCATTCTTCACTCTGCCGTTTGCATGTCACTCTTACCACAAATTTCTGGCTTCTTCTTGGCTTCACCCTACACTTTGAAACTTCTCTATTCTTTTGTACGCTCGCTCATTTTCTCTTATCTATTCTCTTCCATTTATACGCCTCTTTCTCTGTCCCTTTCACGCCTGCCCCTTTCACCCTCCTCATCCCCCTACATGCCATTTCCCTCCACTTAAGTTGACCTAAAAATCTTGCCTCTTTACTTGCGTGGAGGTAGCGTAATCCTTAGAATTAATTATCGCCGCATCATCGGCGGCCATCGAATGATGAGCCACCAGCAAACTACAGCTGGCCGACTAATAGCTTTCCTTCTGCGCGACCATGTATCTGCTGTTTACAGCTGCCAAAATGCAGCAAGTTTTGTTTACAGCTGCCACCATACAGCAACTGTTGTTCACTTTCTCCACCATGCAGCAGGTGTTGTTTACAGCTGCCACCATACAGCAACTGTTGTCCACTTTTTACACCATACAGCAGATGTTGTTTACAACTGCCATCATGCAGCAGGTGTTGTTTACAGCTCTCTTCGAACAGCAAGCTTTATTTAAAGCTACAGCCAGACAGCAGCTATTTTGCATAAATAAACTCGTGTATATACAATCTTTTGTTTAGAACTGCCGTTATGCTGCGGCTGTTATAAAAGATTTAAAATTTTGTAAAAAAAGTAGATTAAATATGATAAAAATTTTCTATAAATTGCATAGACTTGAGAGCGAAAGGGCTACTCATCCCCAGCCCTCGTCAAGGGCCCGCGGGGGAAGGGCTGCTCATCCCCAGCCCCCGTCAAGGGCCCGCGGGGGAAGGGCTGCTCATCCCCAGCCCCATCAACATCTTACGGAGGAAAACCTTCTCATCCCCAGTCCCGTCAAGGGCCCGCGTAGGAGAGCTTCTCATCTCCAGTCCCCCCCCCCCACGTAATAGGGGAGGGGGGAGGCAAGAAGCGGCGCTGCATTCACGCAGGATTTGACCGGCATTCGCGGCCAGCGATATTTTTATCCGCCCTAATGAAGGTCCGAGGTAGGCCTATGGCGGGTAGGCCGCCCGGCACCTGTTGTCGTCACTTCATCTCGGGAGGAAACTGCACTTTTGTGCACATCGTCATGACGCGGCCACGATGGGTGACAATGCAATAAAATGATGCCTCAACCTCACGTCTTAGTCTTATATCAATAGTAAAAAATGTTGTCGTTTTAAAATCGATAAATCAGTCCCAATGACATTTTTAATTTATTCGATTGAGAATATATTGTTCTTAGTAATTGGACATTAAATTTTTTATGATAAATTCGTATTTAACAACTATTTGTAACTAATGGTAAGTAAAGGAATTAGCCGGCCTTTAATTCAGCTAAAAAATGTATAAAGAAAACTAAAGATAGAAACAACTTTATACATGTTATTGTTACTGTTAAGTTGCGATTAAGTATGTAAATCTCTTGATGATTGTTCGCCGACTTCCTTCATTGAGCAACACAGCTGCTTGAATTAATGCTTAGTATTTTACAGCACAGAAACAAGTTTAGGTTGCGGATTCAAAAACCGCAGCTAAGCACAAAAATATAAGTAGAAATTGCCACGGTTGCTGGGTGCGTAAAAGTAGCAGTATTGTAGTACCGAGTAATGGAAAATTCTACAATTTGCGAATTGATGACAACATGGCCTTATCTTCAATGCTGACAATGCTGTTACTATATAATATAATATTAGATTAAATTGTGTGATTATCGATTTTATTACATCATGTCATAATAACAACAGAGGGAGGTAAAATGATTACATGATTCAAGTCGTAAAATTTTGTACATATTTATAAATTTAATTCATTTTTTAATTTTCCTTTCATCACATACTGTCATGATCTGTAAATAAATAACTGATCTTGAACCCTAATTTTTCTACAGTTTCTTATGACAGACTCTTTCGATAATTAGGCTCATAATTAACATCGTTATATTCTGAAATTTTTTAATATAAGAAAAATCATTCATTTCTACAGTTGACTTCTTTAAAGTTTTCAAAAATTTCCGTTGCGCCGTCGATTCTTCTCCGGAACATTTGTTTACCGTCTTCTTCTTTAGTCCGTGACCTGCGGGTGGGGGAGACTTCCCATGAAGTGCCCAATTTCAATTTGCAATAGTAAAGGCCACAGTTGCGTACATCAAGAGTACAGGACGCCTAAACAACCTCTGAGAGAACAGCGTCAGCAAGACCCCCTTGTGACACCACTCTGACCTAATGGAAAACTGCTGAAGATTTTTTGATTAATCCATGTGCAACAAGTGCCAGTGCCCTGTTGAGAGCAACTCCTCCAGTCACCTCAAAACGGATAACAACATTTGTTTACTGGCCTGAAAATATTGGTGTGAGTCATTGCATGTGTTATGTGTGCTTTTCACAAACAAACCTTCTTCAAAAGTTCAATCGTTCACTGACTCACAATAATCAATTTGCTTAGTTAGAGATCGACTGTTCGACATAATGACATTTGACATCCTGCTTCTTACCTTAGGCTTAGTTCAGTATTTGATGTACATTGTAGAAAAGAGAACCATGTCAGTCACATAGGGGTTAGCCACTAATGTTCACAGAATCTCAGTTCAACCTTGGCCATGGCCCACAGGCATGAGTGCTGCATGACTCATAATTCATAGTTGATAGTTATAGTGATAGTTACACTGGTAGGTTAAGGTATGTGCAAAAAAATTCATTTAATCATAATGAAAATTAAACATCTGATAAGAGAAAAAAGTCCAAACAAATACCATATAAATTTAAGTGGATTACAAATTAAAGTGAAAAAGCTATGTCTTTTTTTCCTTTATTAAATAACGTCTTAAAATGAACCAATTTTTGTCTTTTTTTAATCTATCATTTCTAGGTTTCCTATGAGGCTATGAGCCAATTTGAAAGATTTTAGTACCATAGAAGCTCTTGTTGTAGGCTATTGATTCTAACTAAAATAAAACTTTTTGGTTGAGACTTTGACTGCAGGTGGGTGGGGAAAGCAGGTGTGACTGTCTGCCAGGGTGCAGAAGGTGGGTAAATATGTAAATATCTTAGGTATTGGTATTGAAATTATTGCATTTGATAATAATTTAGATCTTCACAAATCTTTGGGAAAGCTAAATGCAGGTACACCAGTAAATCAGAGGTACACTAGTGGCTGCATTATTTGTAAAATTCTGGTTTCTTGTGAATCAGATCAGGCTGCTAAGCACAATCCATAATTCATAATTTTAGTTGCAATGCAATTGTCTACTCTCTACTGCAATACCTGGGGTGTTGAAGATACACTTGTCAAAATTGGTGGCTGTTTACAATTTCAAAAATTATATTTGCAATGCATTTGGAAGATTGCCGGCAGCACAGTGATGCACCTTGAATACTACTGTTGGCAACATTTCTACAAATGCAAAAATTTGTGATGCATTCATCAAACTCTGCACCCTGAGTGACTGATACATATGAATGGTATATGTAAACATTATCTTATCAAAAGGCAAAATTACCAAGAATAAATTATAGTTTCATGGTTCTGGCACCATAAGACATAAAAATGATCATGTCTTCTAAATGTGGCACCTCTTACCTCTATATAACTATTATAATAATAAACTGGCTTGGTGAGTACAGAAGGACGGGGATTGACAGGTACAGCACATAGTATATGCCGGAGGAGCGGCTAGCAAGATGATGGCTAGGCAGTACCGCTACGACTGACGAGCAGCGCACAGATTGAGATATATATAGGCCTTAACAGGGATGACGTCACTGAGTGTGACTCTAACATGTGGGTACAGAACATGTTATAAGAGGGTGACATATGATAACCAAGAGGGTGATAGAAGATCACCTGACAATGATGAATAAGAGATAAAAAAATGATAATTAAATTATAAATAAATAACAAATTACTGTATAGACAAATTAAAGACAATTTGATGACAAATTACTGATAAATTAATAATAAATTAATGATAGATTTATGTCAGATTATTGTTTGATTAATAATAGATAAATGATTTATCAAAGATTTTTGATGGTTACTGGAATAAAGAACTTTGACTTTCCCAGCCATTACATGAACTTCCTGTTTATTGTTGAATAATTCTTGCTATGTGCTTATCCATAACTAGAATTTCACATTGTATGGCTGGAAACAGAGTAGCTATTATATGAAGACTAAAATTATCCAAAAACAGTGGAAATGGATATTTTTATTCTGGCTATTGTAGACAGCAGTATCCCTCTTAGATTCTGTCACTGCAATCAAGAAGCTGCTTAGAGCATATCAAAATTTAACTGTCTATTCTCTCCAATCTCATCCATCCTTATTCAACTGTAATATTCTTTTCCATTATAGGATGAAATTATGTCTAGCCATGAGATGAATCTAGAAGATGTTGTGGCTACTGTATATGGTAAGCTGTACTTTAATCTGTTATGAGTTTGTTAGTTTATTAATATTTCAAATTTGTTACAATGATCAATTTTTTATAATAAATTCTATATATTTTAAAGGTCATTCATTCTAATTATCAAACAATCTCTCATCTCCCAAGTAAAATTTATCAGCTCACAATAATTCCAATTCTTACAATTAATCAGCTGACATTCTAAATTTGAATGTAGAATTGACCCAACTTGAATATTCATTTCATAATTGCCTATAACTTTGACTAAAAAGTATGCATACCTTAAGTGTCCATCAATCCATCTGGCTTAACTCCACTTGCCTATTTTCTCAACAAAGAAAAAGTTAGTGCTTATAAATGACATTCCTTTCATGGATGATGAAAGGAATGCATTTCTTAATATATTCAAACTATATACCTGTTGAATTAGCAGTAATTGCTGAAAATTTATTACCCAGTGTTTTGTCATAGTTTGTCATTTCTGAAGTATATGGCCAGCTTAGTGACATTGAACATAATAAACATGTATAAATTTTGCACAATTAATTTGATTATAATCTTTTAGAACTTCAATCAATTTTGAATTGAATTAACTGGTTAACCCTTCATGGGCAAGCACAGAAATTTGAATTTCTGCAAGAAGTTCAAGATTTATTCAGATTTTATTTATTAATTACTTATATTAATTAATATATTCAGATTTATTTTTGAAGAATTTTGGATATTGTAGTCAATTGAAAAGTTTATAAAACTCAATCACTACCGTATCCCAAAATAAATTAATATTATTCATACAAATGCAAAGGGAATCTATCTAGTTACAATTCGATTTAATTTCCTCAAGTTGCAGTTATTTATTTAAATTTTTATTGTTTCTTCAAATTTAAAAAAAATGTGAAAGAGCATAAATTTCATTGTCAACGTCACAAATTTCATTCAAATGCTCATATTTTAATTCCTGAGCATAGAAGGTGGTGATGCTATGTAAGGAATGATGGTCAGATGATTGGTGATTAGCCAAGGCTTGATAACAGCCTCATAAACAAACTGGGGGTCATGGTGGATTGTTATGGGGGATTTTAAGTCATCATATTTAGGAGTAACTTGCCTGGAAAAGGTTTAAAATTTCTGCATTCGATCCTTAACTAACTGATTTATTTCAGATACCCTGCGCTTTGTGAAAGACCCTGAGAAAGATGCAACTCTGGAAGAGCTTGATGTGCTCCAGGAAGACAAGATAAAAGTTAGTCATAACTATTCTCTTCATTCTGGTACAACTTGTTTTTCTTAGGTTTGCATGAATGCTAAATTTGTCTCAACAATATAGAGCCACAAGAATAAGCAGGATAATTGATTCATATTTTCAAACAAAAGTCTTGCTATATTTGGTAAAATTTAGCCATCAACTTTACACATAAATTTCAGGTACTGTTATTTATAACTGCTTTGCAATCTGTAATAAAATTTATTATGATATTTCATTTCATCCTTTTGTTTCAGGTGAGCAAACTTGATCGTGGCAAGTACTTGGTGCACGTGAGGTTCGTCCCAACAGTGCCCCACTGTTCCCTGGCCACCCTCATTGGTCTATGCATTCGAGTCAAGCTAGCACAATCCCTGCCGTTCCCATACAAAATCATCATTGAAGTGCAGCAAGGCACACATGACACTGCTGACGAAGGTTTTTTTCTATATAACTTTAAATATCATGTAAAAGTTATACGTGAAATATGAGTGAAATAAATTCATATATTATTTATATACTGTACCTATATTCTTAAAAAATTGTTTTAAATTAATGTTGAATTACATCTTTAGTGAGCATGTTTTATAATGTTTTTTATTTGTTCAAAAGGATATCAAAATATTGAGTGTTTTTCATGTGTTTAAATCTTTATAGAACTTTATATCTTGAACATCTTTGCCAATACAAACCAAAATAAATTGAATTTATATACTAGTACTAATCAGAATGCATGAGTGATTTTTATTCCTTGTTTCCTAATCAACAGTAGAACTCATTTTGTCTGTGCAGCAATCAATTTATGTATTTATTTATTTTTTGCATGGCATAAATAAGCATAATTGTCATCATTTTACCTCATAAATAACAGGAATTTTTCCTCGACAGTTAACAAACAAATCAACGACAAAGAAAGAGTTGCTGCTGCTTTGGAGAACCCTAACCTCAGCGCCATTGTGAAGAAATGCATTTCAGATGATGGATGATCCCTGTAGGTTGTCTCGCTTTGTCTGCACCAACATCATCTGCCTTTGCTCTGGAGCTTACATGTGCACTTACTCTCTCCACCGTTGTTTCTCAGGATGTAAGCCTTGAACAGATCTTTGGTCAGCTCAATGTTACTCTTGGCTGCTGCATAATCAAGGTAGATTATGACCTGAGAGTTGCAGCTAATGCATTCAAGCTAAAAATTTACACTCTGAGCAAGCATAGGTTTCTTTGTATAGGTATTTTGTCATTTTGAGTTTGTATTGTTAAAATGAGGCATGTATCATGCATATGCCACTTTTATTATTGCTGTAAATTATAATTATTCACAGCAGTTTCTTTCAGTTATAGGGAGTAATAATATAAAATAATTTCAATAAGACATCATTTCCTGTTTGCAGTTCCATGAATTTTTTTTCTGCTTGTTTAATGTATAGTTTCTTCATTTGTACAAAAAATGCATTTTGTACTTTCAAAATGATCATTGCGACCATTCAATGATTTAATTGTAGAAAGTATCTTGTTTTAAATGTGGTTGTGAATCTGCAAATGTTTTTATAATCAGATGTCTTTATTTATATGGAATGCTTTCTTTTTCCTTGTCTGTTACTTTCAGAAACCTATGATTGTGCTGAGATTATTTAATTGTCTGAGGCTTTTTTTCTAACATCTTTGTTACATATTCTGGTACCGCAACCAATGCTGGAACATCTTTAGTTATCTGCTACCATTACTGATACATATTTAGGTCCTTGTGGTATCATTGCTGGTGCTTCTTCAGGTTTCTGCTACCATAACTGGTACATATGTAGGTCTCTGGTGCCATTATAATACATTTCCATGATTTTATATCATTACTGGTACCTTTCATTCCCAAGCTCCCTCAAAAGATGCAAGCGCATCAAGGGGAGCGTGCTACCCCTGGGGTTATCTGGCACTCTCGCTCTTTTCAAATTGATTACTAGTAAAAATCAAAGAACAAAAAACTTCGCAAAAGATATGCGCAATACCGTACTACTTACGGAGCTATGAAATTTATAGTGTTGCTTCTTACAGTTTTTGGTACTGTTTTTATTCAATACATGTTCGAATAAAAAACATTTATTGTGACATCCTAGTTTTCCCACACACTGGTTCTATAGCATTTCGTTTACGACATTGCTCCCCACTATAGACTGCTCCCCACTATAGACAATCAACGGATTCTTACTTCAATCAATTCGACTTTAGAGTCAAATCTCATTTCAAATGCCTAGTGTTCTAGACTTTAATTAGGTCTTGAATTCCTTTCCCTGCTTTATGATTTTACTTTCTGCTGCGAGCTCACACAACATTCACCTCTCCATGAGCAATTTAAGATGATGTCATTCTCAATCTACTTACTTTATATATAGCAAGCATATCGCTGAATGTTGTGGAAAAGTGCACAAGTATTTTTTTTCCAGCAAGGCTAAATGTCAGGTTTTGAATGCGATTGCTTTTGTTTCGCTGCTTGTACTTTAATATATTGGTTATTTGTTACCAATAGGTCATTGTTAATCTATAATTATTGCTTGAATTTACTACCGCATGTCGTTACGCACCTACGTAGGAAGCTTTTACTTATTGAGATGAAAGAGAATAATTTCTCTACCATTAAACGGTATTGAGGAATAAACATTTAGATTTGTTCGGAATACCGCTAGATGCTAATTCAAATCGTGCTCATATTTCACGCCTCAGTATTCACCTAATATACAATTTGCTTGTTTGCAGACCTCACCGTAATGGTACAGAGTGTTATTATAAGACCTGTCTTTAGTAGTGCCATTTTCAAACACGTCTCCTTCTTCACGAAACTTTGTTGCAATCATCACCTCAGTTCTGATGTGAGCAAGCGTAGTCACTCAACTTGTAATCTCACACATAAATGTTACAATTATAAAACAAATGTTACGCGCTCTGACGTGCGGTTGCATCGTCGGTTGCTGTGTCAAACCATCGACTCGCACCCAAACTTTTATTTTCCTCCGACGGCGACGCGACAAACTCGCGAGGAAATCCTGGCGAACTTTTCTGTGGATCTTGATTTTGTGACACCGGAAGAAGAGAACGAGTTACTTAAAGAAACTGATCGACATTTGCAGCGGCTGCGGTACCAGTTCGACCACTGGGATGATGTAAGTATCTGAACTTGTTCCCTGACATCAATAATCTCAAAAATCCATGATAAAATTATGTTTAGGATGCGCCGGCATGTGTAGACTCGACCTCATAACCAGATCAGCCGCTATACTTTTTTTATTTTTTTTTTATTTTTCTCTCTTCTTCTTTTTTTTTGCCACACATTTCCTACTACACACAGCAATCCCCCAATTGTGGCCTTTTCCTGTGTGTATCATTAGTGTTTAAAACAATCTTACATTAGTTTTACCTAGCCAAAAAACCCTAACATAACCTAACCGAACTGAACACAGCCTGACATATCCTAACCTGTCCTAACCTAGTCTTACCTCACTTGACCTTACTTCACCTAACCTTACCTTGCCTAACCTTACCTAACCCAACACAACCTAACCTAACGTAACCTATCCTAACCTAGTCTAACCTAACCTGAACTAACTTTGCCGTACCCTAATCAACCCTAACTTAACCACCCTATGTGATTGTCGCCATAGGAACTTGTTCCTGGCTTGAACCTAACCTCAGCAAATGACGTATATTTTACGACATGTTTAATTTCCTACCTGTTCTATTTCGATTCCGTGCATGATTGTGGCCGGAGTTCGCATTTCCAACACACACTGAACGTGTTGGAAATGCGAACTCCGGCCTAAATACTCCAAACATCAATAACCTGGGTGTCGGTTTTCTTCTATCAAAGTAAACAGTGCAAAAAGTTTAAATACCTAGTCGATGGTTGCAAAAAACACAGTTAAAAGACATTGAAAAAGCAAAAAATCGCAGTTAAGAATAATCCCCTACGAAAAATCTGTATTGGACGCAGTGGTGGACTTGTCTCTTATACACATCTAGATGTGTATAAGAGACAGATTTTCATGAGATTCTAACGGTTGAGCTCCTGGGAAAAACGGCTCGAGTGAAAACTTTGACCTCAAACCCCCCTGTACGTGATTATACAGCAGCAGCATATCAAAAGTGGAGAGTATAAGTTTAGCGTCCGCTTCGCTGGCTGTAGGCACACAGAAAGTGAGCCGCTCCTGCCGAACGAGCCTGACTTTCTATAGCGATGCACTTTTCGCCCTATATTCATCCTGAAATTTATAAATTCATTCGTAACCACAGGACCGTCGATAGGATATATCAGTGTCCCGTCCGCTCTCTTCTAGTGCTGAGAGTAAAAAAGTGTGCCACTATTTTATCGGTTTTACTCATTCATTTTACTGAGTGATTTGGTGTGAGGGTTCGGTAGGTTTCTTCAAATCCTCCCTCCATAGGGACCTTCATAATTGCTGTTCGCTCATTTTTTTTTATTTTTACATGCGTATACTGTTTCTCATGATTCTACCGCCACAAGACAATAAACAAATTTTCAGGTCACATTAATAAATCAGCCGGAAAGGTATTGCAGATACTCGCTCAATAGCTCCTCTTAGCTACGTTACCTTGCATTCTACACACAAGCGCGTTCGCAAACACATTTGCCATGAAATAACCTTACACTATCGCCCATAGCTTCATGAACACACACCAAAAATACCAATCAATAAAAACGTACACAACAAATGCATCTACGATAGAATAGCCGTACCAAAACTCACGCACGGCCCCTAGACACACACGGTTACCAACCAACACCCACACACATTAAGTTTGTTTAAATCGCAAGTTGACTAAAAATTTGAAAGCAAAGAATACTCCACATAAATTCATATCTTTATAGAAAACGTTTCGGAGTCCAGCTCCATCGTCAGTTCGCAGAATCTAGAATTTACATAGAAACTCACAAATTAGTACAATTGAAAGCACAGAACACAATTAAAATCCTAAATTTACAAGTAATAGGGCCCAAAAAACCTATCTATTCACAATTTCTTTGCTTTTAAATTTTTAGTTAACTTGCGATTTAAGCTAATAAGTTACATTAATCCATAAAGTTTGTATGCTGTATGATGTTCGACCGCTGCAGGCCATAGAGGGCTACCGTGATTTAGTTAACTTGCGATTTAAGCAAATAAGTGACATCAATTCATAAAGTTTGTATATTGTTCGTCCGCGGCAGGCCATAGAAGGCTACCGTGATTTAGTTAACTTGCGATCTAAGCAAATAAGTGCCATCAATTCATAAAGTTTGTATATTGTTCGACCGCGGCAGGCCATTGAAGGCTACCGTGATTTAGTTAACTTGCGATCTAAGCAAATAAGTGACATCAATTCATAAAGTTTGTATATTGTTCGACCGCGGCAGGCCATAGAAGGCTACCGTGAGACGGAGGTCTCTCGGTGGTCACGCGGCAGCAGCGCGGCGCTGGAGCGACTCAGGGCGCGCGCTTTCGGGAGGGAGGCACGGGGCGTGCTGGTGCACACACACGTCCTCGACCTCGCACCTCAGGGATACATCAAGCCACACGTTGACAGCGTCAGGGTATGTAGACGAACTTGCTTGTGTATTTTGTGCTCTATTTTTATCGTAATTTTTGAAAATGAGTGAAGACAATTGGAATGGAACATGTGCCTTCAGCTACATCACTTGGTTGTGTATTATTTACTTTATTCTTATATTAATTTGCTGAAAATGAGAGAAGATAACCGTAATGGAACATGTGCCCTCGGCTACACCAAACTACAGGTAGATAAGGCAGGTACCAAATGTGCCCTCGGCTACATCAAACTACAGGTAGATAAGGTACCAAATGTGCCCCCGGCTACATCAAACTACTGGTAGATAAGGTACCAAATGTGCCCCCGGCTACANAAAGTACAAGAATCGGCGACAGGCCTATCCAGGCCTATTCTTTAATGCCGAAGATACTATACTACTATTTGCAACATTCCCCAGGATCCCGTCACACTGAGGCAGGATTCCCGCAGCATTCCCAATAATCTCGCCTTACTACGGCATGATTACTACCGCATTCCCAATAATCTTGCCTCCCCAAGGCATGAACACTGCCGCATTCTCAATAATCTCGCCTTACTACGGCATGATTACTATCGCATTCCCAATAATCTCGCCTCACTAAGGCATGATTACTGCCGCATTCCCAATAATCATGCCTCCCCAAGGCATGAACACTGCCGCATTCTCAATAATTTCGCCTTACTACGGCATGATTACTGCCGCATTCTCGATAATCTCGCCTTACTAAGGCATGATTAATACCGCATTCCCAATAATCTCGCCTTTCTAAGTCATGAACACTGCCGCATTCTCAATAATCTCGCCTTACTAAGGCATGATTAATACCGCATTCCCAATTATCTCGCGTTCCCAATTACTGAAGCGTTTTTTCTTCAGTTCTGCGGGTCGACAATAGCTGGCTTGTCTCTACACAGCGACGCTGTCATGAGGCTCACCAAGCAGGAGCTCCCGCACCAGACGGTTGATGTCTTCTTGCCCGCTCGCTCCTTATACATTATGAAGTACGTACTACTTAACATTATATCGTATATTTCTTTACCTTTTATATTGTGAAGTACGTACTACTTTACATTATATTGTATGTTTCTTTACCTTTTATATTATGAAGTACGTACTACTTTACATTATATTGTATGTTTCTTTACCTTGTACATCATGAAACACGTACTGCTTTACATTATATTGTATGTTTCTTAACCTTATACATCATGAAGTACTTACTACTTTACATTATATTGTATGTTTCTTTACCTTATACATCATGAAGTACGTACTAATTTACATTATATCGTATATTTCTTTACCTTTTATATCATGAAGTACGTACTACTTTACATCATATTGTATTTGTGTGTTTCTTTACCTTATACATAATGAAGTACGTACTACTTTACATCATATTGTATATATGTGTGTTTCTTTACCTTATACATAATGAAGTACGTACTACTTTACATCATATTGTATTTGTGTGTTTCTTTACCTTATAGAATATAGGGTATATATATAGGATGGCCCAGTGGTTAAAGTTCAGAGTACCAAGATTGGAGCAGAGAGGCGCGGGTTCGATCCCAGCTCTGTGCGCCAGTTTCTGGTCAGAATCGGCGAGGAGGCCGGGCGGTTAAGCACAGCAGAATTGTAGCAGTGAGTTGCGAGTACGAGACCGCAAAATGCTGCGAATGTTCTGCGATGTTAAGAATCGGCGACAGGCCTACGGCCTAATAACGCTGAAACCGCTATTATTATTATACATAATGAAGTACGTACTACTTTACATCATATTGTATATATGTGTTTCTTTACCTTATACATCATGAAGTACGTACTACTTTACGTCATATTGTACGCTTCTTTATTTATGTAGTGTATGGCATGTAATACATCAAACTCAGCCGCTGTCAGGCCCGCACTTTCTCTGTTTTTCATTAGGAAGGTGGATTTTTTATGTCAGGAAAAACATCACAAATCTTACACTCACGCAGTATTCCCTTCAGAATTTGCTTTTATGTTTATTTTTGCTCCAAGCGTAACCATTTTTACAGTCTTTGAGGACACGTTAATTAATTCATGTTATTAATTTACGTCTTCTTTTCTTCTCAACTTGTTCTACTCGTCGGCCTGGTCTCTCCTTGACTCCATCCTACCACCTCCTCACTCCTCCCATCTCTCTCCTTCCCCATTCATCTTTTGTTTCAACGTGCATATCTTGCCGCATTTCGCACCTGTTCTTTATCTTGCATTACTTTCTTACTTAACTCTTCGTGTACTGATACATTTATCGTCTATTCTATTCGTACATTAAGGCCTGGGACCGAGAAGTCATGTCAGTACAGATAGCACAAAAAAATTATTTTGATTACACTTTGATTACGTAATTCAGTTCTTCTTTTCTCTCGGTACGCTTCCTTTCTTTCACACCTCTTTTTTACTCTTGTACTTGTAGCTTCTTTTATGTGGGACAAATCATCCACTACGATCGAATTTCTCTATAACCCATCTTCCTTTCTTGTAGAATTTTTTAATTATCTTACTCCTCCTATTTATTACTCGCAATGTCGCCTCACTCGTGCCATGGTACACTCGGATAAATGAATGGTTCGTATTGTCCGAATAGGGACACACTCTGCATGTAGCAAGCACTGATACGTCCGTTTGCCATGCAAAACTGAGTCAGGATGGCCCACACACGAGAAAGAAGTGTACCGTAAAACGGGGTGACTTGGGCCATTGAGACGTTTAAGAAAATAAAACCCTATACCGGTACTCGGAAAGTTTTTGTCTTAGAAAAATTGTGTGAGATTGAGATTACCTTCAAATGGAATAAAGAGATATATTTTATATATTTACTATGTGAAAATTTCTGTAACAGAATGGTAAGTGCTAAAAATGTTCCAAGTCATCCCGTTTTACGGTATCGTCGCTATTTGGACCAAATCCCCCATTTTTCTGACTTAGACTATATCATAAGCTGTTAATGAACCATCATCTATCGCAGGGACGCCGCGCGTTATCTGTACGCGCACGAGGTGCTCAAGGAAGCCACGTTTCGAGGGCGAGTCGTAGAGAAGCGCAGGAGGGTCTCCGTTATCTCCAGGAATACGCCGGGACCAAAGGATGCGTGACAACCTAGGGCCCATATGCGCAACATCCTTAGTCCTTAGGTGGCATAACACCCCTGGTCTCCTCAAGGCGTAACACCCTAGATAGCCAAAACGCGAAACATCATGGATCTGTAGGTGGCTTAGTAGTGCAGGCTCTTAGGTGACTGAACACCCTTAGTCACCAGGAGGTGTAGCCTTCTGGTCACTGCGAGGCATAACATCATTGGTCTTCAAGAGGTGTAACCCTCTGGTCTCCTGAAGGCGTAACACCCTTGCATGGTCTTCAAGAGGTGTAATCCACTGGTCATCTGAAGGCGTAACACTCTTGGTCTTCAAGAGGTGTAACCCTCTGGTCACCTGGAGGCGTAACACCCTTGGTCTTCAAGAGGTGTAACCCTCTGGTCACCTGGAGGCGTAACACCCTTGGTCTTCAAGAACCCCTCTGTAACCCTCTGGTCACCTGAAGGCGTAACACTCTTGGTCTTCAAGAGGTGTAACTCTCTGCTCCCCTGGAGGCGTAACACCCTTGGTCTTCAAGAGGTACAACTCTCTGGTCACCTGGAGGCGTAACACCCTTGGTCTTCATGAGGTGTAACTCTTTTCTCACCTCAGCTGGAGGCGTATTAGATGTTGCTTGACGCCATGTTAATTTCTTAATTGAAACGCAAAAAGTTATAGTAAGAATAATATTTTATTTGAAATAGAAAGAAATGAACTGAGAGAGAATAAGATAAGAGTTTATAAATCATTACTTGGTGTAATGTATCTTGGTAATCTTGGTACATGGTTGCCTACCAATGATGTCAGAAAAAGAGAAAGTTTAAGTATATTAAATGTAAGAGGAAGAGAAAGTTTTAGTATATTACTTCAATTGATGACTTCTATTGTACATATGCATACATCCAATATGTTGCAAAGTAGCATAAGTACATAATATAGATATTGGTAAATTTTTATTGATTACTCTAGAGAACAAAAAAAATTAGCTGACTCAACTCGCACTTGAGTGAATAAAAATTTGTATAATTGGAGAAAATGAAAGAAATAGACATTAATAATCCATTATGTTATGAGATACACTGAAGGTATTGAGTAGCTGGTCATGATTTGTCTTCTATGCAAGATTCTTCCTTGTCTCTGTAGGCTCGTAGTTGTTCTTCTAGGCTTGCTTTCTGGGCCTCCAGCTCTGACACCTAAAAAGTGCAGATAAAGTTGAGAGTTAATTAGGATTATACAAATTCATTGTGGTTAATAAATGTTTATGACGTAGAATGACAGATAATAAGAATTCTGCCAAATTGAATAAGAAATGGTATGAAAATTCTGGGAAACCTTGCTCAACAATAGTAAAAAACAATGTGAAATTTCAACTTAAACAACTTTAATAGACATGATCAGGTTAAATGAAGAATATTCGTCTAAGCCAGGAAAAAACTCTGTATAATCATAAGAAATCTACTGAAAAAGTCACCTTTGCCTCCAGAGTTTTGATTTTATCAGCTTCATCTGAGTTCTTCTCCAGCTCTCTGCGAATAAAGCCAAGAGGGTCGTCAGGCTTGAGTGGCTGTTCATAAAGTTTCACCAGAATGTTTGTCAGAGCAGACATGATGCCACTTTTTTGCACATAGCTACGAAACTTCTCACGGTCAGTATCCATGGCTTTCAATAAGTCTAATTACAGCTCTGGGAAAAGATAATGTTATATTATATGGTTGACGTTTAATGGATGATAGATTAGATTACTACCGTATTGTATAACATCATGCAAACACTCACACAACTGAGTAGGATAATAACAGGGCGATTGGTCACAAAACTTTGGGGCCCATGATTTGATTCTTTACACAGCCTATCTTTCTTGTCCAGGGTAGGGTGTAATTCAGACCAAATGTTGCATAAAGCCCACATAGAATATTTCGATTTAGCAGCAAAATTATAAATCTACAGGGAATCAAATAATGAATTACAAACAACTTACTGCATTATTTCACAACTTAAAACATTTGGTTCACTCAATGCAAGTAATTCAGTCTTTAGAATTTGTAAATGAGCCCATGGTTCTTCTGTCAACTGGGGTGACTTTGGCCACACCTACAACAGAAAGAAATGGCAGCAAAACAAAATAATAAACTTTTGCCAAAGTGACTGGGGTGACTTTGACCACTGGGGTGACTTTGGCCAACATTTATAATTTTGTTTTGCTGCCATTTGTTTCTGTTGCAGTGGTGGTGGTAGTCACCCCAGTTGATGGTAGCTAATTCATACATTTTTAGCTAGGCATTTTGGGGTATGTCAAGATTTTTTTCTACCTCACATTTCTATTTAGTGCAAATATCAAAAACTTCAAGAACTACATCGAGGACTACAATTCAGCAAAATAAATTTGAAATCATTGCTCTTCTATTATCACACTCAAAAAATTATAACTTTATATTGAATAATCAAAGCTTGAAGGCACCTATTTTGGGCAGAATTGATCTCAATCATGCAGTAGTATTAGACTATCAACATTTTGATATGAAATTATTCAGCCATCAGAAATCTAGCAGCTAGGAAAATGGCAGAGATGCTCTAGTGACAGCTTGCAGAGAAGATACTCCCAAACCTGCAACCTGGTGGTGCATCATCAATGAATTGCACTCGTGATTTTTTCCTTAGAACAATAATTAATAATTTCAACTAATTTGAAAGAATACATAATCAAGATCTTATGATATCAAGAAATGTAACACTGATTAATCACTATTTATTTATAAATTTGAAAGCTTTGCCTACTGCAATCTTGATTCTTGACTGTCAATAGAACTATATGCTTGAGCTCATCTACTCAAGATTAAAATCAATTTTTATGTATGATAATGCTGGAGCTGGACTTGCTGGTTTATGATATCCATGAATAATCCAAGATACTTTAGGACTCAAAATTAAACTTTAGGAAAAATCTAAAAAAACTGTTTGCTTTGCCACCATGCAGTTGCACTGTTGCAGACCAAGCATGGAATAGCTATACCTACTTGGCAAGCCATGAGTCACGACTGAATTTTTGGAGCTGTGGTTTTATGGGTTTGCTAGCCATGATGGTGATTCTATTTCTTTAAGGCGGAATTCCATCTCTCTGCCAAAAAAAGCCATTGACGAGCTTGAGCCGCAAACTTATTTACAAAGTCCCATGCATGATGCATCATGCATGGGTTACCCCAAAATCCAAATCTCTAATTTAACCCTGAAAATAGTCAAAACTCAAACAGTAACACCAACATTTGTCTTTACTAAGGTAACAACTGAACAAGTGATAATGCAGTCTGAGTGCTCTGATCAGTCTGATGTGACCGCAACTAAGCATCCTTCAAGTAAACATTTTGGGTTGACTTGTTATTACGTTCTGCAGGGTATTTTGGCAGGAGAATTGAAGTAGGGTAAACGCGGTATATTCCGACACATTAAGGACGCATCGAGAAATGAAAAACTATAAAAAAAAACGTATGCGTTACGTAAGTTCTGTTGCCTTCAACAAACCATAATATTCTTCCTATAAAAACAGTTATTCACTATTTGGTAGAGCCATGTCAACTGTCAAATTTGACACATTTTTGTATGATCTCACCATGTGGCATGCATTGTCTCTCTTTGGATCTCAATATTTTCCCACTAGATGGCCAAGACCTAGTGTTTTTGCAGTATTTTGACACGCAAATGTATGACGTCACCATTTCAACCATCACTGAATGCATGGAACTGAAACAAAGCTTAATATAAAGGAAAAGCTGGAGAGGAGACGGAATTACCTACGATGTCGGAATATACCGCATTTACGTTTACCCTACTGCAGAGTGCAGATTGTGGAATGGAGGTTCCATAAAAAAATTTATGAAACGACATCATCGACATGGGTGCAAGTGGCAAGTGCAAACCACAATTTTTTCAATAAAACAAAAATACATGACATTAGAGCCACAAGATCTGAAATTTCCTATATGATATTAGAGCCACGATATTTTAGAAAAAGTAGGGTAAACGCGGTATATTCCGACACTTTAAGGACGCATCGAGAAATGAAAAACTATTAAAAAAAACCGTATGCGTTACGTAAGTTCTGTTGCCTTCACATGACTCTCAAAACACTTCACTACGCGTCAGCAACGATGAAACGTCACAAAATGTTGCCATATTTATTAAAAAGCCTTTAGAATGGAAACTTACCAAATCCCTATATTCCGTCATTTTGTGTGGCAACATCCGACACGTGGTGAGTTGTATTGCGTCAGCGCTTCAAATTTAAAATTTGGTAGAGCCATGTCAACTGTCAAATTTGACACATTTTTGTATGATCTCACCACGTGGCATGCATTGTCTCTCTTTGGATCTCAATATTTTCCCGCTAGATGGCCAAGACCTAGTGTTATTGCAGTATTTCGACACGCAAATGTATGACGTCACCATTTCAACCATCAATGAACGCATGGAACTAAAACAAAGCTTAATATAAAGGAAAAACTAGAGAAGTGACGGAATTACCTACGATGTCGGATTATACCGCGTTTACCCTAGGACTTTTTCAACCTTGATGTAGACGAGTTGGCATTCTGATTCTGTGATAGGGAAGGAGTTGATTCATCTCTACCAGCAAATTTGTTTTCAGTTTTCACAAAAGTGTCCAAGTGTTGATTATTATTTATTATTTAACATAGTGGAATTTGAGCAGGTTCAATCATTTCAATGTTGAATCTGTCAACCCTTGACAGTTGTCACATGCTGTTGCGTGTTACGTGTTTGGACAGTTTGGTGAATAGTGATGTCTTTGATTCAGCACCCGGGTCAATCAAAATTGTCAATAAGTTCTTGACCCTCGCATCATCCGATGAAATATTCATTGAAGTCACGGTAGGCACTCTCACAATTTAACAAAAGACAATTAAAGGGCTGCGACGTCCTCTTTCGATAACAGTTCAGTCGTCTCTCTCAAATAGATTGAAACATTTAAAAGTGACATTGAAACAATTTTTTTCCAGCGTAATTACCATTTTGAATTTGAAATATTTTATGAAGTTTCAAACAATCCGGAGGTGCGGAGAACTTTTCTTCTCTGTTCTTCATTACCGGAAATTTTTAATAATAAATCCGGAAAATGGAATTTCTGACTATATCTAATACAATAACCGAAATTATATCTGAGTTTGTAATGACTCAGTCCAAATTTGATTCCGCTTTATCGTCACATTATGATATCAGAGGGTAATAAAGCTGTCTCACGTGAGTTTTATGAGGTTTCTATTGTTCAAGTGGCTGGCAAATTCAAACTCCGCAATTACTTTAGAAGTCAAAAAATCCTAAAAGCGATGCATACTAACGGCTCCTTATATTTGAAACGCACCCAATCAATTTATTCATCATTTTCGTCTTCAGGGACTTACGCTGGATTCTGCAATTCACTTTTGGAAGTTTCTCATAAAATTCATTCTAACCCGCTGCTAGAACAACCTGAGGATGTTCAAAGTGAAAAATATGGTGGCTCACGAGTGAATATTCTCCACTTGTGTAGACCTAAATTCATGGCTACACAGACTATGGGTTCCCAATAAACTCTTCAGCATCGGGAATCTTAGGAATCTTCTACCACGTCTTTATGTAATCCTCGCCATGGCAGCACATTTGATCGTGATATCAAAGAGATCTTAATCTTCCATCATCGCTATACGGCGAAACTGGGTTGTTCCCACGGGAAATTCATCCCTACCTGAGACTTTGTGCAGTGTCCTTTCGCTCACCCAGTGCATCCCTTATACCCAGAGGTGGGCAGTAGCGCGCTACATGTAGCGGCCGCTACATTTTCAGTAGCGGTAGCGGCGTTACATTTAAGGCAATGTAGCGGTAGCGGTAGCGCCCGCTGCATATTTAAGTAGCGATACGAGGTTTTGCCGCTACAGCGCTACCGCTACATTTATTGATAAAGCCTTTAGATTTTACCTAATAGTATTAAATATTATTTAAAAACCAGCATGATACATACATAATATAAATTACAGAATAAAACTGTATGAAAGATTTCGGTGTAATGTTGCCAACCTCAGCCTGTTACTATAGTGTCAACATGTTAGTTGTTACTTGTTAAGTTGTTACCAGTTACCACTTACAGGTATTTTTTCATGTTTCAGTTTGCTTACAGTTATTTTTATCTTTCACCTTCCCTACATAGATGTCTACTTTAATCTACCAATCTCAAAAATAATCCACATATATATACAAATAAAAGACTGATTTTTTATATGTATATGTGGATAATTTTGGTGATTGGTAGATTAAAGTAGACATCCATGTAGGGAAGGTAAAACATAAAAATAACCAACTTTTATTTACTGTATCTAACCCGTACTAGTTCGGTTAAGTTAATTGCAATACAGTTGCATTTATATGTTTTGAAAATGTTTTATTATCATTAAATGTTTATGAGTAAATCCCAATAGCAGAACAATAAATATTTAGAGATTTCTAATAATTTTGGCCATTGTAGCGGCTAATGTAGCGGCGCTACATTTTACTGTAGCGGTAGCGCTCGCTACAATCCAGTGAGTGTAGCGGTAGCGGTAGCGCCGCTACATTTCAAAGTAGTGCTGCCCAGCTCTGCTTATACCGCCGAGACCGACTTCTACAGAGCACAATCTCGCCCCTTCCCTACAACCCAACTCTTCTCTAACAACTTTAGTTGTTAAA